GTAAGTGGTGTAGTTTAGATCAGTAGCAAACAGAACACACATCTGCCCGTTGGGGGGAAGGGGCAGAGGGGAGCAATTAGGGGGGGAAAGGGCATGCTAGGGGGCAAATTGAGGCCCCTGTGGTGAGGGAGGGAGAGGGGGTGGGGCCGCAGCAGCAGCATGGGCAGGTGTTCCCCAGCCGGGGTGGGCCACAGGATGGAGCTGCAGCTCATCTGAGGGGGACAAGGAGGGGGGTGGCTCCTGCCACTGTGCATACCCCTGGGGAAGGCATGAGGGTGCATGTGTCCCCTGGATCTGTCCATGGGGCAGGGTGGGCTGCTCGCTGTGGGCTGGGACCAGGGGCTGCACCTGGTTTTTCCCACTTGGGGGAGTTGGGCCGGAGTTGTGCTTGGGCCAGGTGGGGTGGGGCAGGAGGTGGTGGGGGAGCTACAAGGGGGCTATGCTGAATTATGGGATGGCTGTAGCCTCACCCCCATAGCACCTCCCCTCCCAGCACTGCCACTGCCCATCCCAAGCACAGCCCTGGTCCAGCCCCACCCATGGGGAAGAGCCCGGCACAGCCTCCGGCCTCAAGCGTGCATTCATGGGGCACACCCCCCATGCCTCCCCTGGGGATATACATAGTGGCAGAAGCCACCCCTCCCCACCTTCTGTGCTCCCCATGACTCCTCAGCTCAGTCCTGCGCCGCAGCTCAGTCCTGCGCCCTTCCCTGTCCTGCCCCGGCTGGGTAGCACCAGTCCTGTCCTGTGCTACCCCAGTCTCAGCCCCACTCCCTCCCTCACCACAGGGACCGTGATCTGCTCCCTCCCATGACCTTTCCCTCCCCCTCCACTCCTGTCCCTTCCCTCCACCTGGATGCTGCTCTCCAAGCTGCTGGGCTGCATATCAGCAATTGGATTGGTATTGGCCGATGTGGCTGGTCAACACTTGGACATCAATGTTGACCCAAAAAATCTTTGCCTTAAAGAGCTTTAACTAAACAGCCAAGCCCCCACTGTATATACTAGTGTAGTTTAATTAGTAAACTAGGAGGAAGTCTGTCAGCCAGAAAAGCAGCATGCTTCAAGATGGTTCTGTCTTGTAAAGGCAGCTGTAAGATCAATATGATCAAAGTGAGGCCTACTGACTATAAGCATTTGGACAAAGGAAGAAATGGGGAACATGCGAATTTCAGTGGTCAGCTTCAGTCACCATGAAACTATTATGGTATGTTATTGATCTGTATCACTAACACCAGAGTAGCATTACCTTGCATTTTTAAGAAAAAGAGGCCAGATGTAAATAGGCTGAGTAAATAAATCTATCTAGTAAATCTATTTTAATGTATTTAGCTAAAAGTGCATGGAAACTGCTGTTTTGATTTTGGTACTTGCTTTCCAAAATAAGGGAATTCCGAGTAAATGTTGTATGTGTCTGTATAGGTATCAGTAGAGGATCGCCTTAAACAACTACAGGAAGCACATCAGGATTTTGGGCCTGGATCTCAACATTTTCTCTCCAGTAAGTAATTCTAATAAACTAATAAACCTGAGACAGTGGCTTTCTCTCCAGTAACCTTTCAAGTAATGATGCCATTGACTGATTTCAGTCTGGGCTTCACTCAGGAATGGATTTGCCGCCTCCTGGCTGTGTCTACACAGGACGTTTTACTGCACAGTAGACTAATCTACTGCCCAGTAAAGCATCACTGTCTACATGTGCAGTAAATTAGTCCATATGCAATTAGTAAATTTACTGCACAGTAAAGCCAAGTAGCACTAATTGCATGTGTAGACGCACCTTCTGTCTGCAGTAATGGTACCCTCTTCTTAACTGAGACTCTCAACACTGCTTCGTGCTCATGGGTCACTTTTATGTGTCTCCATGCATTTTGATTCTATGCCTGCCTACCTATTTACCAAAGTTTAGGTGGATGTTAATTCAGGCTTATCTTAAATTTTGAGAGGAGTGTTGCAAAGTAATCATAGTGCTCTTGATGTATTATCACAAAGTGCTTTAAGATAGATGGAAAGTGAATAAATACATTACTTGACTTATATTGAACTTTCACTTCATGGATCTCAAGGCATTAGGATAAACCAGATAACCTAACTAATTTCAAAATTTAGCAGCTAAATACCTGCTGGACCCTGTCAGCATATATAACCTGTGTGTTCTTATTTAAAATCTGCAAGTATCCATGTTAAGAAGGCAGGTGCCTAACAGGTCAATGCATTCACTTAAAAGAAGTACAAGCCCCATATCGGGCAAAGCTTTCTTAGAGCAGTAGTTCAGGAAAGCGTTCTTTTGGCAGGCTGGTAAAATTTAAAAACAAAAGGGTTGCTGGTTAATTGCTACTTAACCTTTTCCTTAGGTGAGCTGTACTACTGAACTCAGGCCTGCTAGTTACTTTAATCCAGATCTTGAGTGCAGAGAAGAGAACTTGCATGCTTTCTCCAAAAAAGAAACAATAAAGGAAAAGGCATCTGGTACTGTTGACTGGTGCCAGATTGGAAGTCTGGCAATCTAGTCTGCATTATTAGTACAGTTCAAGAAGCATAAGGGTCAAACTTTCCACACAGCCTTATGAGTTTGCATCAGATTTATACTGAATGGCCTTCTCTAAGCTTGGTATGAGGTCAGTCTCCAGACTGTTCATTCAAGGTATCTGCCAACCAGTGGGTCCATCTTTGGTGACTGTCTTTGTGATGTCCACCAGAACAGAGACAGGTACAGGTCATAAAACGTTAGGCTTCACTGTTCCTCTGTTTGCTTCAAGAGGTAGTTCAGATCTTGCTTATCTTTTTATCAACTCCTTTTCTCCCCTCCCCCACCCCAGTCCTCATAGTTATTATTATAAAAGAGGAAAGAAAAAAAAAAGTAGTGCTTCTCTGGTGAATAACTCACAGAAAAATTCCTGATTGAGAGAGTGATCATGGACAGTGTTAAAGGAAATACCTACAACTTTTGTTTAATGGACTACTTCCATATAATTTGGAAAAAGTAGCTTTAAGAGGAAAGAAACAAAAACAGTATTAAGTCAGGAAAAATAAAAGTCTCTCAGCCTGACAGGTTGAGGTAGTGCATATTCCAAACACAAATTTTTCATGCTCACTTTACCAGCCAGAAACACCATCCAACAGTGAAGAATAAGCAGGGTTGTAATTTGGTTAAAATAACCTCAAAACCTAAAAAAAAATTCCTAAGATTCAAGGTTTGATTTATTTGATACTTTGAAAGATTTATTCTAAAAGTTTCACTCTTCATTGAAGAGGACAGATCTTCAGTCTGTATTTGGTTTAGGAACAGTTATTTTAGATTTGCTTTTTCCTGTTTTCAGCCTACTTTGTCCCCTGGCTCCATGTCCCTTTGTGTCAACCTGTAGACCGCAGCTAGTGCCATTTCCTGTGGGCAAATCCCCCCCCACCTCTCTCTAATGTCCCCTTCTCTCACCTTACCTGTTGATTCCTCTTCTCTCATTTCCTTCCTCCATGTTCCAGCACCTTCCAGTATCTGCTGAACCTTATTCCCCCACCTATCAGCGTTTACCTTCAACAAAATTTGACGTCATACAGATAGTTGCTATTTGTCTGAATGCCAAACTTGGATTCATCCACTTACTACTATACAGCTGCATATGGCAGGTGGGCAGTATGACAAGCTGGTCATTCCTTACTCCACAAAATATATTCTGATACAGCAATGTACATAGGTTATCACAGCTAATGCTCTATCCTTTCTTTGATCTGTTTCTCTCTTGCCAGCAATACTGTATAAAAGAGGAGAGCAGTAGCAATCTAATGTTATCTTTTGCAACTTGTAACTGATGCCAGTTATTTTCCTATTGGAAAGTTTATCTATCCCTGTTATTAAAAATGGATGTTAAAACATATACTTTTGGAATAGTTCCATTATTGCATAGAAAATCCGTTATTGATTAGAAAAAAATGTTACGTTACTATCTGCAAACCTAAACAATTTGATTTTTCTTTAATCTTCGTTTATTTTCCATCCATAGTTCCATTTATCTGTACTTCATCTTTTGCATTCTTTGTTACATTAATGTCCATCAATCAGTATCTCCATATGCTTTGCTTTGTTTCAGCCTGCTGTACTCCTGAATTAAAGCTTTCAGACATCCTGTTTAATGCATCCCTGAACTGAATCCAATCTTTTGCTAATATCTGCAGTGTTCATATTTAGTGCCAGAATCAAGAATTACTCTGTTCACCTTCCACCAAAAAAAGTGATTTAAAAAAGGGGGGGAATTCATCTTTGTTAGAGGCTCATATAGCACAGGATACTGTGAATGGTTTTACTGAGCTTACTTTTTAATCAGTGCTGTATCACTTGATCTGTAGGAGGTGGAGATTGAAAGAAATGCATCTGGTCATCTAGTCCATCCCCCTGCTAGTATATGAAAAATCCCTCCCTCTTGTACCATAAAAGTTGAATCTGAACCAAAAAACAAAATAGCCCTTGTGATCAGTTGGTGATCAGCAGATTGGAATCCTGGTTCTCAAGCCACAGGGTACTTGCAATTTGCCAATCAACTGTTTATTGGCTGGCTCTGGGGATCACACAACAGCTTGAACAGGCCCCATGGATCCCTTGAGCCAGCTCATCTGGGATTACGATAATGATCTCAGGCTCCCCCTGCACTGGCAGGTATGGCACAATAGGGATCTGATTGCTGATCCCAAAATCACACCTTGTGTCACACTCGTATGGCATGGCAGGAGGTGTGATTTGTTTGGATTGTGGATTCGATATCATTACATCTTTGAGCAAACATTTGTCAATGGCCATAGTAATTGTAACTTTTCTTCAGAATGTATGAACTAGCCACTTGCTCAGATGTCTTTCCTTCAATGATTTTTTTTATTTATAACTTTTTTCATATATATTTTTTTACCCTGATGTTATGCAGTGCTTAACTTGTCCAGCCCTGTGGGCCAGCTGAGTAGTTCAGGGCTGGTCCATGGGCCTTATCTGGCATGCAGGTTTGGTCCACAGACCTGGTCTAGCGTGGAGAGAACTGTCATTTGGACCATAGGGCTCTCCAGGGGTCTGGAAACTTGCTGAGAGGATGAGAGGAAACAGTGTTAGTTGCTGCAGCTCCAGGAGCTGCTCCTCCAGAGGCTGCAGCAATTAATACTGCTGCCACTTCACCACCAAATGTCTGGACCTGTGGAAAGCCCATGAGCTGAATGACATTGGTCCATGGGCTATCTGTTGGTCATCCCGGATGTAGAGAGAATCTGTTTGTTCAGTAGGTTATTCTATTACCTATGTAGAGGTTTAGTCCATTTTTCATAGATGTTTGAATGGGGGTTTCATGTCTCACTGTAGCAATCCAGTTGTCAAAATTTGGCTTGTATATTTCATTATTAAATTCTCTACACTCTCATCATTAATGTCAGAAATAGTCTTTCAAGAATCACATATCATTTGCTTCTATATTGAATATGGTAAAGTGAATTTCCTTTACACTGCGAACTATAATCACATGCCAATTTGGTTATGTTCTCTGGGGAGATATACATACCCAAGTTCTCTTACCACATTGCCACTTCAAAGTTAACTGCCAGTTTTCCCATTCATCTGAATTCCTCACCTCCTGTTATTTCTGGAGATCTTTAGATCACTGTACTTGTATTGTATCATAAGTAGTGCATTTTTCCACGTATGGATTTGTTGTTGGGCTGCTTGGCATTACAGATGGTCTCCATTGATGCATCAGACTTGCGTACATTTCTGCAAAACTTATGGATCTATAGCAAAGAGAGCATTAATCAGTATTAATTTGGATTGCAAATACAAGCTTGCAGTTATAACTAATAATAAATGTTGCTGCTATGTTACCTTTTAATTAAATTGTGGGGTGTACATTATGGTAATGAAGGCACTTATTTCCAAAGCTTAAAGCTGCTCGTAATTTCTAGATCCCATTGGAGGAAGTAGAGAAGCTAGTTTGTTAGCCTGCTCTGAATGTATGGCTTAATCAGCTACCATTTATAATCCTTCTTTAGAGTGAAATCACCATATTCGTTTATTTTATGTTTTGCTTGTCATCAAATAGATGGCAAGCACTGCCTGATTATATTGCCATTGTTTTCTTCAGCTGATTTTCCAATTACTGAAAGCCTGACTGCAAAATTATAGTAATTCCTATTTAATTTATTAAATCAAGGTCTAATTTTAAAAGAAACAGTTGCTTTTTTGCTTGTTTGCTTGCTTTTTTTTTTAAGGATAGGTGCTACCTAATTACCACTTCATGTCTTTTTTTTTTCCCACCCCCCAGCTTCAGTTCAGCTTCCATGGCAGAGATCTGTTTCACATAACAAAGTGCCCTACTACATCAAGTAAGTTTGTCTTGGTTCTCATTTAGTTTCATTAAAGAAAGCAAGAAGTCTTATGGATTCAGCCTGATATTAATCTGGTGTTATAGGATCAGTAGAAATGTTATCAAAATAACCTGCTTAATGTATCAAGCTGGATATACTATATATTATACTTCCAGTGTTTTTGTACAAGATGATTAGAAATATGTAACAAGCATCCAGCCAAGAAGCTCCAGTTCAGCACAATATTTAAGTATATTTGTTTTGTTAGGCACATTGAAATCTATCAGGTGGGTAGTAGGGGAAGGGGGAGAGGGAGAGATGAATGAAACTAAGAGATATTTAGATGTTTTAAGTTAAGCACATGTTTAAGAAGCTCACTTATTCAGACTGTACCCTCAGACACAAAGGAAGTAGATTTGTTTTCATGAGAGACTGAATCCATTACATAACTACAGTACAAAGTCATTTAATGACACACAGTTAATAGAAATAATTTTGTGATTTACAAGGGAAAGAGCATGCTTTCTAGCTGAATATTGCTCATTTTTCTTTTTTGCATCTAACCACATGTTGATTCTCAGCTTAACTTTTTCCTTAGCTTTTGAAAGTCCTCCCATTGCATAAAATTAATCTGTGATGAATAAAATTGTACAAATCCCGGATTCCTTTGAGAGATTAATTTTGTAAAGACAGAAATAATTCCTTATGAAGATATGGGGCATAATTTGATGCATTTTAGTGGCAAAACTGTGGACAAAGATTAATGGTATTGGCTTTTTTATCAATAAATGCTTACTTACCTGTCCTTTTCCCCTTGTGTTTGAAAGGCAGAGTTTGTAGCTTTATAAGGAGACTAGCTGCTTGCAAAAAGGATAGTTGCAATTTGTAATATACATTTCAGAGTTATGGTAAATAAACCCTGTAAAAGTTCTTGGGGAGGAATTCTTTCTAAAATGCAGTGGCACGAGTGGAGGAAGGAAATACACATTGTCGAAAATTAGCCCTGCTTAAGTCAGGCAGAAGTGAAATTAGAGCCATCGGTTTTATAGTGGCGGGATTCAGGAAAGATCTATGCTTAAGGAAATAAGTTTGACCACAGCTCTCGCTATTCCTGCATACCTTCCTCTAATTAATGGAGCATTTTGAGGATGAAAAGTACTAGTACCTGAAGAGCCTCTAGTACTAGGAGAGGCAGAGTTATTTAGATGGAGGGGAAGGATGCAGTGTGTAGTTATTCATTCCCTGCTTGTACCTAGACAGGAGGGAGAAAATTCAATTGTTGTTTTTCTCACCAGATTCCCTCCCCACCAAATTGATCTTGTGAAACATCACTACCTACAACAATCCCAAAAAGATTATCAGCTATATCATCTTACCTATTTTGTGAGTCCCACCTTCTTGTTCAACATGAAGGAGGTGCGTAAGGTCACACTGACATTACAGCTGCAGCAATGAACTTTTTGGAATCTCTTCTCTCTCCAGAATTAACTGTCAGGGGGTTTGTTACTGATAGGTGCAAGACAGTGAATGTCAAAGCCAGTATCCTTCATTGTTTTCCATCCATTGGTGCAGTTGTAAAGCAGCACTGTTTGAGCTAACCTTTTAATTTCCAAGATTAATTAAGGCCTATAGATCAATGTTAATGTACAGGCAGATGCTGCATACAGTATATATTATTTTTTCTGTACCAGTGTATGGTACAGATTAAACAAACAAGATATATATTTAAAACTCTGGTTTAATATGTATTGTTTGTTTTATAGAAATACCAGGTCTAAGAGAAGCTAGTTACATTACATCAATGTAAGTAGGTTAACTTTGCTGTAGGATCTGGAAATGAACAGAAAAGGTTTTCCTGTCACATAGATTTCAGTATTTCAGATCTTCTAGTCTCCTGTATTCTAAGAACTTTGTCATTTATATGCAAACCCAGAAAGCCAAGGAAATTTGTAAAGAATCTCTGATTGTGGTAAGGATGCCTTAATCTGGGTCTCCTGCAACTCTGGAGGCATGATGAGTGTGGTGAATGTGGACAGTTGGGGTTAAGAGAACATGCATTAGCATTCTATAAGATTTTTGATAGTATTATAAAACAGGAACGATAATGTGCAAGTGAAAGAGGTGAAAGAGCTGCAAGTGAAAGAGCTGCAGGTGGGCAGTATGGGCAGTATAATAAAGTGGTCACTCCTTAGTCCACAAAATATATCCAGATGCATCAATATGCATGGGTTATCACAGCTAATGCTCTATCCCTTCCTTGATTTGTTTCTCTCTTGTGAGAGCTGTATTCTTTTTTTACCATTTTCTGTCTTATTTTTCATTATTATAAAGTTTGGTCTTAATATTCAAGGTCAAAGCAATTTCACTATACAAACAATTGTTCACTGAACCCCCCAGACGGTTTTGTCCAGCTGTTTTTCTGTTGTCTTTGTGATGCATGCCAAAGAAGTATTGCCTTGGTATCTATGTCTTAAAAGACTGGCAGAACGATGTTATGCATGACCAACAGTTTTATTTATTTTTGAAAAGCAAGTTGAAGCTTGCCAGGCTTCTCAGTTAGTTGAGCAGACTTTCCTTGGCAGTGTCTTTATTTTCTTGTTGCATACTGTCTCTAGATTTCTGAGTTGACAGCAGCAGGTGCAAGAAATGTAGAGTAACAGCAGTACTGATTCTTAATGTTGCCTTTCTACACGTTGTCAGACTGGGTATTATTATTGTGATTTAAAAGTCTTTACAAATTTTGTTTCTTAATTTCAGACCTGGTTTAGAGAAGAGAAGGGAACCAGTGCTGTTATCAAAAATATATTTAATTTAACAGTTTAAATGTGCTCCATTAGTTTAATTCAAGAGAGTAATCAAAAAGGCTTAATGACTGTCCTTTACCAAGTGTGTGGAAGCTGTGCAAATTATCTCGGCACTTAATTTTTCTAGTGATTTTTCTAAATTGTACCAAAATCTGCAGTTTAAATAAAATGCAGCCTGGAGGTAATCTGCAGAGGAGACCAAGTTGCATCGTGTTTCATCTTCCCTTATATTTTAAGAAAAGTTAAGTTTAAAATTCCTGTTCTAAGGAGATATCTTAAGGCACATTGCTTTGATGTTTCCTAGTAATTGGGAAGGATTTAATAAACTGAACATTAATATGCATTTGTGTCGGATGTAGAAAAACAAACTGATGAAGGAGAATATGAGTATGATTCAGTGTCTGATACTTTCTTGTCTAAATGAGGACACTCAGGAAAATTAAGCTGGATTAACATTTTAAAGTGCATTAGTTACACTGCATTTAACTACTGTGTGGTCAAATTTACTCAGAAGTGGAGTGGTTTTAATTCAATCTAGTTCAGTTTACTTTGGAAGTAAAGTAAATCTAAATCAAATTAAGACCGCTTTATTTCTGAATCATTCAATTTATTTTTATTTCACTTCTTTGGGAAATAAAGCTACATTGAATTGAGGCCACTTTTGTTGTAAGCAAGTCTGCCCAGACAATGGTTTAATGCAGTTTAACTAATCCACTTGAAACTTATACCTTTAGTTAATTCAGATTAATTTTTCTGAGTGCCTGTTTAAACAATATGTAAGGTATTCAGAAAATGACATGCAGATGGTCTTATCTTTTGAAATGGGATGCTGTAGTAGTACATACATTAGAATGATGTTTTAAAAATGCATGCTCACAAGTTGTGTACCAAATGTAAAAATATCACTATTAAAAAAATGAAGGATATGAACTGAGAAAGTGAAAGGGAATACTTTGGTTTGCCATAGATCTTTAAGGAGAGTGACACAATGATTAAAACGTCCATTTTTTTTTAGATAAGTAGCATTTGTTCCATCTCCTGCCTCATGCCAGTGGTAACAGACATTTACGTGCAGAGACAGGAATGACTCAAAAGAAAAATGGGAGTTGTAGCCTGCTAGCAAAATATGTCTGCTTCAGAGTATGGTTGCTTCCCTTACCTGTTTACTGACTTTTATGTGGATGTGTTGACTCATTCTGGAGTTCTGTAAAGTACTTGATATATTTAAGAGCTGTTTCTTACTGGCTACTATGTAAACTCCTTTGACCAAAGGGTAACCAGGGGATGGAGTACCTTTAAAGGAAGTGAAAGTTCTTTGTTAGCAAGAAGATTCACACTACTTTTGAGCCCAGATTTATGGAGTACTTTGTGTTTCTATGCTCTGTACAATCAGCTGAAGCTACATGTGCAGTTTAGGCTGTCACTGTTTCCTCCACTTGTAATATTTTATTATGTAAATCAAAAGCATTACTGCTGCCAGTTGGCATTTGATCTGTATAAGAATTTTTTCTTAGACCTTTGCTTTTCTGTCTGCATAATATTAAGTGGTAATAGTTTCAGAATTCTGCCACTTTAGTGGGTTCCAAAATTAATTAGAATTTTTTTTTGTATTAGAATTCAGTCAGTGATGTTTGAAATCAAACACTTGACTAAACAGTCACTTGAAAAAACTGTCTAGATATAGTTGAAAAAAGTTGAATCTTTTTGTCTCCTAGACACAAGATTGTCCAAGAGACTTGGACTAATGAGCAGTATAGGAAAGGATGGAATGCTGGCCAAAGACTGTTTCCTAATTCACTACTCCTTGTAATGGATGTTGTTATCAGTTTGGACAAAATGTTGCAAGAGACAAAAATTGATTTCTTCAAACAAGCATTACACAATTTTTTTTATAGGTTGTGCTGCAAAGATATGTGAGTTATAATGGATATTCTCTACAATTTTATTTATAACCATTTGAAGTGCACGAACAAGACATGATTGGCCTTTACTGAGAGAATGCAAAAAATAAAGCCTAAGAAACTCTACAGTCCTTTAAAAAAAAATTTAATAAATTTGGGAATTTGTATCTATTTCTTTGCCTCCATTTTTCTGAGCAGGGACCCGGTCACCCCCTACACCGGGATCCCCATAGGCCCCAGGGGAGGTGCACCCAGGCCTAGGGTCAGTGAGGATTTAATCAGGGAACTTCTGGAGGGCCTGGACGTATTTAAA